CTCTTCACTTTTCCAAATGAGGATGTTAGGAAAAATCAAAAGGAAAAAATAAAGGCCGCTGTCATTTACTACCATCTTTAATTAAAAAGAATGTTTTAGCATCAAAAAGAAAGAAAGACATAATCTCAAAGTGAAAGACACCCTTTACATGGGGAGAAATAACATCGCAAAAACCTCAGGAAACTGTATTTACTTTTCTTATTTTATGGCAGACCAGTAAAAACCGTCAGAATGTTCCCTTTCATAGGCAGGCACTTGGAGACACCTCTGTGAGCTATTGCAGGTGATTTCGGGGGGAGTCGAGAGAGAAGAGAGGAGTCTGGGCTTCTATCGAGTAATACACACGCTCGGCTCAGAACAAAATACTTCAACACTTCAGTGAGGACGTCAGGCGGTTCCTCACACCATGCTGAGATTTGTGAAAACAAAACAAGAGAAGATCCAAGTGGAGCTGGTGAGAGCTGGTTCAACACCTCCAAAAGCCTGAAACTTATTGGAGGATCTGCCCCAGCAGACGGGGCCTCGGTGCAATCTCCTAAATGGTTGTTGCAGACGGGTTATCTTCCCTTCCAGGATTTTTCCACCAACATATGTAGCTAGTTTAGAAGCCTTTTAAAACTTTTATTTACTGTGATATTATACACATATATAAAATGCCATTTCCACAGTTTTCCTCCTAACCACTCATTTCCCATACATGAGCTGTTCATTGTGCCAACCGAAGTTTGCCAACCCTGGTCCTCATTGAGGACCTAATTCCCTGCTTGGCAGGGCCTACATGGGTGTGTGAGAACACACCACCGGGCAGAGCTTCCTCTGTGCCAGGCCCAACTTGTTCATCTTTGTGTCCCCAGCACCCAGTTTGACCAAGGCAAGGTGCTCACTAAATGTTTGCATATGAGTAAGTGAGGCAGAACCAGAATTAAGTGAGGCATGGTAAAGGACAAGGGCTCAGCTTGCAGGGGCTGGGTTCTTAGGGGTTTCTAGAGAGTGAAAGATCTTGTTCTTGTTTTTGTTGTTTTAGAGACAGAGTTTTACTTTGTCACCCTCGGTAGAGTGCTGTGGCGTCACAGCTCACAGCAACCTCCAACTCCTGGGCTTAGGTGATTCTCTTGCCTCAGCTTCCCAAGTAGCTGGGACTACAGGCACTCACTATAACGCCAGGCTATTTTTTGTTGCAGTTTGGCAGGGGTGGGGTTCAAACCCACCACCCTTGGTATATGGGGCTGGCACCCTATTCACTGAGCCACAGGTGTCACCAAAAGATCTTATTGTTAAGTCAAGGATGGATCATCCTTTGGGGCTCTTCAAGGGAAGATGGAAGCCAGACTACTTTCTAAAGGTTGTCTTCAAAGCAGGGACCACCTACTCAGAGGGGACAGCTGCTTCACCTTCCTCTCACCCAGGCCAGCAGAGGGCTCTTGTTCATCTTGGGCCACATGGGAAACTACTCAGGCCTTTCCTCTCTACTTCCCCACTGAAAAAACCCAACAGGGCCAGGACCTGCTTGGACACATTGGATTCCTCAGTGTTCACTGGCCCTGGCTTGGCTGCTGAGCTGGCCCTAGCTGGCCATGCCTCTGGTGGTTGTGACAGGAAGCTGGCAGGTGGTGAGATGAGGGGTATGTCTGCTAGGGCAGATGGAGTGGTGGCCAGGCAATAGGCCAGAATCCTACCATTATAGTGGCTTGTGTTTGAGGACATGCTCTGGGTCCCAATGCTCTGACATGGTCTGCTTACCTAGAGGCCTGCGGCCTGTCAGGAAGAAGAGCCCCAGCACCGAAGAAAATGTTCTGGCCTTTACACCTAGCTCATGGTTAGAGTACTGCAGTGAGACCTATTGTTTTTCCACTCTCCACTGATTAAGCAGGCTGGTGTGGGTGCCCTTGGTGGGCACAATGCCCACTCTACTCATCCTTTGTGTCTCTGGCCAACATTGCCTCCTCCAGGAAGCCTTCCCTGACTCCCTACTCCCTGCCTCAGCCTGGGATAGAGGTGCTGACCAGCATAGTGCTTGTCCCATGGCCTGTGTGTCCTATTCTCCATGACAGATGGTGTGCTAGAGACTCTGTCACAAGCCTCACACCTAGTGAGTGCTCTATGAATGTTTGTTGAATAAATCAACGAGCTGGTATACATCCTCCCTTATTATCTAAAATTTACTGGGTTGGCTTTGGAGGAGCATGGAGTCCTGGGCCTCCACCACCAGGGCCAACCAGGGATGTATAGCTTACTGGCACAGGACTCCCAAGGGCATATTTGGTGGCTGACTTGAAGCCATCAGATCCTTTTTGTTTCATCTTCAGTGTTGGGCCCAGGCGCAAAAAAAGCAGAGAGAAATGTGAGCCATACCCACCCTGCTGGGAGCTGGGAGGGTGAAAAAAGCCTGGGCTTTTCAGCCAAACACATGTGGATTTGAATCCTAGCTCTACCATTAACTAGCTGGGTGACCTTGAGCACATCTCTTAACCTCTCTGAGCTTCAGAGGCATTATCTGTAAGGTAGGAACCATAATCACACCTGCCACATAGGATTGTTGTAAGGAGTAAATGAGGTAGTGCGTGCCAAGCACAGTGCCCGGCATATTGTCAGCAATCATTGGATAGTAGATGCCGGAATAGAAAAACAATAATGGTGTCATTGTTAGGCATATGTTAGGAGCTAAAGATACAAGAAGTGTAACGGACAATCACTACCCTCAAAGGGGCAGCTGTATACGTGGGGAAAACGAGACACAAATCTAAGAAACTCCTGGTGGCACACAGGGCACGCCCAGTGATTGGTGTTTCTCCTTGTTGTTCAGAAGAGGGAGCAGTTGCCCAGAGGTAGATCATCAGGCAAGCGTTGCTGGGCCTTGAGGGAACAGTAAGAGGTAGGGAAGTGGGCTTGGCGCCCGTAGCTCAGTGGTTAGGGCACCGGCCACATACACTGGGGCTGGAGGGTTCGAACCTGGTCTGGGCCTGCTAAACAACAATGAAAGCAACAACAAAATAGCCGGGTATTATGGTGGATGCCTGTATTCCCAGCTACTTGGGAGGCTGAGGCAAGAGAATTGCTTAAGCCCAAGAGTTTGAGGTTGCTGTGAGCTGTGACACCACAGCACTCTACCAAGGGAGACATAGTTAGGTTCTGTCTCAAAAAAAAAAAAAAAAAAAGAGGTAAGGAAGTGGAGAGGAAAGGGGAAGAATCCCAGGAAGGGGCCACAGCACCTGCAAAGGCAGAGAGAAGAGCAGAGGCTACCTGGGGCAGTAGCCAGCAGACCAGTTTGGCTGGAGCAGGTTAACGTAGATCAATGCTAGAGAGGGATTGGAGTGGGAGGGTCTTCAGTGCTATGGACCTGTGAAGACACCGGGAGCCACTAAAGTTCTCACAGGGAGGTGACATGGGCCAAGTGGAATTTTGGAGCTATTTAATATTTATCTAGACTGGCCGATAAACCCGAATCTAGTACCAATCTCAGAAAGGACAGTTTAGGTCACGAAACCCCAGGTGCCTGGTCTGGGTAGGAGTGCCTAGTAGTTCATAGATGCTCTTAGAACAGCTGAGGTGACGAGGTCTGTGTGTGTGCCTCTGCTTCCTTGCTGGTCTTGCCTACTCCATCACCAGCCTCCCTGGATCTCTTGTGGCTCCTTGAGCACAGCGCAATCCCTACAGTCTACACAGCTCCACCCTTGCCTCGCCCTCGCCCTCGGCCTGGAAGCCTGCAGAGATCTGCACCAGTGCACCTCCTATCTCACCCTTCAGAGGGGGTGCCCTGCCCACCCTCTCTGGATCTCCTGGTCAGGCCTGGGTCACTACCTCACCCGGGTAATTGTCTTCACAGCCCTAGTACTGCCTGACTCTGCAACATGCTGTTGTTTTCCTTGCTTCCTGCTGGTCCCCTCATGTGACTGCAAGCCCCATGTAGGCAAGGATTTTGTCCCCAGTGCCTAGCACTTGGTAGGGCTCAGAAACTGTTTGTTGAGTGAATGAGTGACAGATGGTTAAGACTTTGGGTTTGGAGAGTCCACCATGAGCTAGACCATGCTCTCCTGGGCCCAGACATGCTGCTTGGGGTGGCCCTGGGAGTTGGGGGCAGGGCTCTACAACCCCAGATGTGCTTTTGCATGTGCCTGTCCCTTGGCTGGGTATGTGGCTCTGGGTTGCAAGGTGATGAAGGGCATTAGGGAGAGTTGGCCTTGGGGGCTGGGGGTTGTTCCCTGGTGCTGAGTAGGAGGAAGGGACCCAATTTCAGCCCCACCTGGCCCCCAAGCTAGAGTCAACTCCCAGTCAGGAGTCCCACTTCATAAAGGAGAGTGGAGATTGACAGCAGATGTGGCCGGGATGGGAAGGAGAGGAGAGACTCTGAAGCCTTTGAGAGTCTCTAAGAGTCCTCCCCTCCTCCTCAATCCCCACCCCTCATGTGCCTCATGAGGCTCAGTGAAGTCAAGATCACACAGCTTGTGAGGACAGAAAAAAACCCAACAGGGCGGCCCTGTCCCCCAACTTTCAGGCCCTACCAAGTCCTTTCCTTTCTTTGTTTTCTTTTTTTGAGACAGAGTCTCATTATGTTGCCCTCGGTAGAGTACCATGGCATCACAGCTCACAGCAACCTCCAACTCTTGGGCTTAAAAGATTCTCTTGCCTCAGCCTCCCAAATAGCTGGGACTACAGGCGACTGCCACAGCGCCCAGCTATTTGTTGTTGTTGTTGTTGCAGATGTTATTGTTGTTTAGGTGGCTCAGGCTGGTTTAGAACCTGCTAGCCTCGGTGTATGTGGCTGGTACCATAACCACTGTGCTACAGGCACCAAACAGAGCCCCTTCCTTTCATTCATTCACTCAGGCTCTGTGGAGAATCTATTCTGTGACAGTGGTCAAGCTTAACTTCTGGGGCTACTGCCTGCCCTCATGGGGCTTCCACTCTGAGAGGAGTGGACATTTAATTATACCATAAATTTTCAGGCAGTGGTCTCCTTCGGGACGTTCTGTGGGAAGTGGTCATCTGAGCCTGCTCCCCAGCTTTGGTCATGCCATCTTTGACCACTGTGAACAGAGTGAAGGCAAGCGCCTCCAAGGTCTGTGGGTGGAGGGGAGAGAAGTGGGCACACAGTACCTTCTGACCAGGAATGTGGTGCCCTGCTGGATGGGGGCTGCAGCACCCAGTCCTCTCCCTCTCGTGGGAGGGTTCCAGGGTCCCTGGCGGCTGGCATCACCTCTCTCCCTGTCTCCTCAGCTGTGTGCCAGCCACCGTGCCAGAACCGCGGCTCCTGCAGCCGGCCCCAACTCTGCGTCTGCCGCTCTGGCTTCCGTGGAGCCCGCTGCGAAGAGGTCATTCCTGATGAGGAGTTTGACCCCCAGAACTCCAGGACAGCACCCCGACGCTGGGCCGAGGGCTCACCCAATCTGCGCAGGAGCAGCGTGGCCAGAGAAATCCCTGTGGCCAGGACACAGCCACTGGCTCCACAGCCACCACTGGCAGGGTAAGTCCCATGCACACTGGGACCTCAGGGTCTGGACTAAGTCTTTCTCTGGAGGGCTTCAGCCTTAGGACCGGTGAAGGCCGCAGTTGTCCTCCCCTCCCTCCTCCTCTTCCTTGCTCCCACTAGAGGTGCAAACAGAAAAGCAGGCAGGAGTGGAGAGGGGAGGAGAGGGGGGAAGGTGCCTGGGAGAGAGCTGAGGAGGGCATATCCCTGGGATTAGGGTCTCTTGGTTGGAATCCTGGCTTTGCTACTTCCTAGGTTGTGACCCTGGGCGAGTTACTTACAATGATAACACCTAGCTTATGGAATTCTTGTAAGGATTCAATTAATTAATATAAGGAAAGTGCTTAGAACAGTGCCTGGTATAAGTAAGCACTTTTATAAATGGTCCTCCCCATCCCCTCCCCTTCAGTCCCTTCTCCTGCCCTTATTCCCCAGCCCCACCCCCTCAGTCCCCCTTCTCCTCCCTCTGTGGCCTCTGTGATGTAGGAAGGACTCCTCTGCCAGAAGCAGCCCCTTCGGTTTACTCACCACCCAGCTTCAACCTCTCTCCTTAGAGAGGAGATGGAGCCCTGGGGGAAGGGAGTAGAATAAAAAATGAACAAGGGGAGTGTTCTTGGGCAGGATTCCCTGGCCTGCTTGCCAGCCAGCCTGGCTAGACTTCTTTCTAGCTCAGGACAGGAAATCTGAACTTTATAAACTGGTCCATTTTTAGGGGGCTGTGTTTTCCTTTTAGTTTTTCAGGTTAGTTTTTCCATTTGCTTCCTCCTTCAGAAGTTCTATCTGAAATATTGCAACTTTGTCTTGCTGAACCAAGGAGCAAAAAGGATTTGTCTTTTCAGAGGCCAGGAGAATCAGGGAGAAGAGGCTGACCTTGAGGTTAGATCCCCGTTGGGAAAGGTCAAGGAGACGCTGGTTGAGTGGGTGGAGAGAAAGGAAAGGATGTAGGGGTTGTCTAGCAACTCTGAAAGGGTGTGCAGTCAGACAGACCAGGGACTTGGGAAGGTAGGTTCCAGAGCCCTGAGCACTCACGCAGATGGCTTCTGAGGGCGGCTAGGAGCAGGAAGAAAGAAAGGATGGGCTCAGCTTGAGGTCCAGGGAGCTCCAGGTCAAGAGTAGAAAAGCCACACTCATCTACTAGTTTCACACTAATACTGAGTACATTGGATGTTTTTATGTGCCCACATGAGAGAAAAACACATTTAAATTCAAGAAGGGGACTAGGAGAGGGGATATACTAAGCTCTGAACTATCAAGTACAATGTAGGAGTATATGGCACACTTCCTGGGTGAAGGGCTCAACTGAAACTTGGACTTTACCTAACAAATGCAAATGATGTAACCTAATTGTATGTACCTTTATATTAATCTGAAAAAAATTTTAAAAGTAATTATACTTTTAAAAAAGGAAGAAAAGCTAAAATCTCCAGCCAAAACCCCAGGGATACAGGGGCAGAAACAAGGAGCAGATCTAAGGCCCCCACCCGGCTCCTAGTGGACAATACAGAGGGTCTGGGATTGGTCGTGAGCAGGTAGGCAGGGCCTGGGCCATATTTCACCTGGTCCCAGCTAAGGGTCCCAGGCAGTTGGCCTGGTGTAAAGTCACCTGAGGGAGCACCAGTGGTGCCATCTCAGGGCCAGGGTGGGCACAGAGTTCTTCCAGAAGGGATTTCCCCGGCTGGTCTCTCAGCTTGTGGGATTTGTCCATTTTTGAATCATTGACCCCTCCACCCCTGTGCATATGTGTGTGTTGGGGTTGCCTGGCAGGTCACTCTGTCCCTTGGAGCCTTGAGACAGAGAGCTGTTTGAGCTCCCTTGCCCCATCTTCCAGTCAATTTGACTCCTCCCCATTCTTCAAGGCCTGGTCTCACTTCTTCCCCAAAGCCTTCCTGATCATGTCCACCTGGCTACCTGACCGCTGCAGCCCGTGCTCCTGGCACGCGCCATGTGGGGCTGTACCCTGTGCCTGCATTTAGACTGTCAGGCCTGCGGCTGGAAGGCAACAGTTCTGCCCGGGGCTCTGCATTTCCCCACAGCTCCTCCTGCAGGGACGAGCTCATAGAAAGTGCTCAGTTCATATCTGCCCTCTGCCACTTGGTCCAAACCACAGGGTTAGCCTAGCAAAAGTGGCCATTTGGTATCAAACCCTCACCCTGTACCAGGAGCCATGGTCACCACCCCACGTGCTGCTCAGGGGGCAGAGGAGGAGAGGCTCCCAGGGTGGGCACTTCCTATTTCCCTAGAGTTGCACTTTTCACTCCACCTTGGGAGGGTCTGTTCATTAGCTCACTGAACCAGGAGCTCCCTGAGAGCAGAGACTCTGTCCTTCTCATTTGTGAATCTGTCCCCGGTACCTAAGGCCATGCCTGGCACATTGTAGGTGCCCACTGACAGAAGTTGAATGAATAAATGAATGAGGGGCTGCATGGTGAGGATGAACTGTGTGGGCCTCCATCCCCCAGTGAAAGTTTCCCCTGTGTGAGGTGGTAAAGGACCCAGGTCCTGGGTGAGGTCTCTGGCCCACAGCAGGCCTGTCCTCTTTGACTTGCACAGGCTCCCTGGCCAGGGGCTACTGTGATGTTCTTAATGAGCTGCAGCCTCCAGCCTAGCCTCTCTCTGCCCTGGGGCCTCAATGCCATGAAGTCTGGAAAAGCCATAGTGTCCCGCTGTTGGCCCAGCTGTCAGCCCAGCTGTGTTTTGCTTTAGGAGGCCAAATCTGGCTTGCCCAGTGGTGTCAGACATTTCCTGTGACCTTGGCCAGGTTTCCCAAGCAGCCGCTGGCCTCTCTCCTGATAGCAACTTGGACAGGCCTTGTGCATCCAGATAGAAGTGACAATACATGGAGGGCATTCTAGGAGTGGGAGAGGAGGCAAAGTGTCTGGGGAGGGGAGACACTACAGGCATTGGTGATGGCCGGAGGCCCCCTTTAGGAAAGCACTAGGCAGAGGCCAAGAGACTTGTGTCTTAGAGGAAGGAAGACCAGAGGGAGGGGCCAGGAGAGTCTCCAGCAGCAGGCAGGATGCCCTACAGCAGGCCAGATGTGGATTGATGTTGTCCAGCTGTGGCCTGGACTGGCTAGAGAAGCCTGGAGACTCCCTGTGAGCCCCAAGTGGAGACCTCTTCCCCAAGGTTGGGCAGAGGGCCTGCCTTACCTGGGGAGCAAGAGCCATATTTGGAGTAGGGAGGGCCTGGGCTTTGGATTTATATAATCCTGGGTTCCAATTCTGGATTTACTACTCACCAGCTGTGTGTCATTAGGCACTTGTTCTAACCTCTCTGAACCAATAGTCTCCACCTGATAGGATTACAGGGCGGTTTAAATGAGATCCTGTGAATAGAGCACTTAGCATGGTGCCTGATCCCAGCTAGTTTTTGATACATATTAGCCATTGGTGGGCAAGTTCTCTTTGCCAGGAGGACTTAGGTGGATGGGAGGAGGTAGTGAATGAGTGTGTGCAAGCATGTGTGTGCAAGCATATGTGTGCACATGCAGACTTATTCTGAAAAGTCAGAGTCCAGACCACGCCTCAGAGTAGGTGTGAGTAGCAGATCCAGTAATGGCTTTGGCTGACTTGGGGTATGGTTATTCCACCAGGACCATTGTCACCAGCCCATTGGGAGAGGGGAACTGTCAAGACTGGGAGGGACCTCCTCTAATATGCTACTTAGCCTGACCTGAGGACATAAAGGCTGAGCCCTGGGGACATTCTAAGCAGGCTTGGTCATTGCCTGTGACAAGGCTGGGAGGGGGTGGCTGGGAGGTGTCTGGGGAGCTGTGGCCCCATGGTGGTGGCTCCCAGTAGGCTGCTCCTGTCCAGTCTCCCCTCCTCTGGATCTCCTCTTCTCTGCACACTCTGCCTTCCTTTTCTATGGCTGCCATAACAAATTACCACAAAAATGATCTTTATTTTTTTTGAGACAGAGTGTCACAATGTCACCCTCAGTAGAGAGCTGTGACGTCATAGCTCACAGCAACCTCCAACCCTTGGGCTTAAGCTATTCTCTTGCTTCAGCCTCCCAAGTAGCTGGGACTACAGTGCCTGCCACAATGTCTGGCTGTTTTTGGTTGCAATTGTCATTGTTGTTTAGCTGGCCTGGGCCAGGTTCGAACCCTCCAGCCTTGGTGTATGTGGCTGGCGCCCTACTCACTGAGTAAAGGTGCCGAGCCCACAAAATGATGATTTTAAAACAACACACATTCATAGTGGTGCACTCCTGTAATCCTAGCACTCTGTGAAGCCAAGGTGGGAGGGTCCTTTGAGGTCAGAAGCTCCAGACCAGCTTGAGCAAGAGTAAGACCTGTCTGTACTAAAAATAGAAAAATTAGCCAACTATTGTGGTGGGCACATATACTCCCAGCTACTCAGGAGGTTGAAGCAGGAGGGTTGCTTGAGCCCAGAAGGTCTAGGTTGTGGTGAGCTATGATTACGCCACTGCACTCCAGCCAGGACAACAGAGAGGGACTCTGTTTCAACAAACAAACAACAAAAACAAAACAAGAAAAGAAAATACTTATTTGTCATTGTATAGTTCTATAAGTCAGACATTTGATGTGAGTCTCACCAGTCTAAAATCAAGGTGTTGGCACGCTTCTTGAGGCTCTAGGGCAGAATCTGTTTCCTTGCTTATTCAGGTTGTTGGCAGAATTCAGTTCCTTGTAGTAGTAGGACTGATTCTCTATTTTCTTGCTGGCTGTCACTCAAGGGCTGTTCCTAGCATCTAGGAGCCACCCACATGCCTTGGCTGTGGCCACTTTCCTCCAGCTTCAAATTCAGCAACAGCAGCAGGACTCTTCATGTTTTGAATCTTCCCTCAGCTTCCCTCTTTGGCTGTGTTGCCTTCATGACTCTCCTGCCTGCTTCTGCCACTTTTAGGGGTCCCTGTGATGACCGATAATCTCCCTATTTTAAGGTAAGCTGATTGGCAACCTTAATTTCATCTGCAGCTTTAATTTTCTTTTGCCATTTAATGTAACACATTATTCAAAGCCATAACACCAG